GGCCCCTGTTATTTTTTTACACTGATGTCTTATTTGATTCCCCAATATCCCTCCTATAAGTGAAACCATCCAATATTTTTCTTTTTCCTTCTGACTTATTTCACTGAGCATAATTCCTTCTAGCTCCACCCACATTGCTGCGAATGGCATGAATTTTTTTTGATTGCTGAATAGTATTCCATTGTGTATATATACCACATCTTGATCCAGTCAAGGGATGGACTTTTTAAAGCCAGCACTTTAAAAAGTGGATGGACCTCTCACATTAGCACTTTGGTGGCAGGTAAGGTGAGGCTTATACACATACAGGAGATGTACACCCCAAATTTATTTATTTTGTAAATTAACACTTAAGTCAATAAAATTTTATTTAATAAAGGAAAAGACTTTCCAAACTCTTTAGCTTAGGTTGCTTGAATTCTCAACTGTAATGTGGCAAAGACTTATTTTTCTTATCTGTTTCCCATTGACTAATTTTCCCCTTTTTCGTTGGAGTAGTCAGGGAAGATGGGGGATCTTCTGAACTTTCTTTGTAAGAAAATTCAATTTCCATTCCTCTTTTTTTGTAACTAGAATTTTACCTTCCTCTTTTTGTTTCTTGCTCCCGAGCCCTGCCTTCTCTGAAATGTTTCAGTTCCCTCACGTGTATTTTTAGACCAGCTCTCTATCTTTCAACAAATGTGGTAAGGGTAATTTTGGTGCAGCTATTGTAGGGGCCAGGACCCCAGCAGGAGGCCCCTTCTGGCATGCACTTGGCATGGATCCCTCAAAGTCCCTCTTAGACACTCTTAAAAAAAATCTAACTTATAAGCAAGGCTGGAATCTTCTTGCCAGGTCATACATGGGACTAAAGACAAAGCCATTTCATTCAGTAATGCTCAGTTGATTTTTTGCCTCTGCTAGTACCTATCTTCATTTTTCGTTCTTTCTTTTGCTGATTTATTTAACACCTGTGAACTAGAAGTACATGCAGCACACTCAACACATAATATGCAATACTTCTCATCTCCTCTCTGTCTTTTCTGATCTCTCAGCATTTTTGTTGATTAAGTTAATTGGTCTCAGAAAACTTCTGAAGTTATTTAGCCCCAGGAACAAATCAAAAAGCTTTGCAGACCAAGAAAGTCTGAAAACTTTTCCTCTGAGATCAAGAAAAGGAAGAAGATAAGGATGACTGTTTATACCCATTCAGCACAGTGCTGACAGTCCTAGGCAGAGCAATTAGATAAGAAAAAGAAACGTGAGGCATCAAATCTAGAAAGAACTAAAATTATCTCTGTTCATAGATGACATAATCTTATATGTATAAAATCTTTAAGATTTCACAATGTTATCTGCTAGAACCAAAAAATGAATGCAGCAAAGTTGCAGGATACAAAATTAACACACATTTTTTGACAGGATTATTTTCTTTGTTGTTGAGTCTCATCAGCTCTTTGCAGATTTTTGTGATCAGTCCTTTATCGTTAGTGTTGCGTGCCAAAATGTTCTCCCAGTTGGTGGGGTTTCTCTTTGTTTTTGTTATTGTCTCTTTTGCTGTGCAGAAGCTCTTTAACTTGATGTAGTCCCAGCTGTTGAAAATCAAAATCAACAAAAGCTATGAACCAGAGACACTCTGTGAGGGATGGGGGGTGGGTAGGGGAGGGATTGGGGTCAAAATAAGGAGGTTGCAATTGTATGGGGAATATAAAAATAAAATTTGTAAAAAAAAAAACCAAAAAAAAAAAACAAAAAAAAAACAAAATTAACACACAAAACTCAGTAGCGTTTCTTTCTTTCTTTCTTTCTTTTAAAGATTTATTTATGCACACAAGAACTGGTACAGGCCAGATGTGTGGGAGGTGAGAGGATTCACCAGAGACAGTGGGGTACAGAATGGGCAGACTGACTGAAATACACTGCTGAGGGGAGCAGTGGGCAAGCCAGGAGAGGTCTGTTGCACCATGTGGGTCACCTCCCTGGCTGAGGATTGAACTCGTGCTTCAGTGGCTGCGTATAGCTTCATAGGTTGCGTCTTAACCCCTTGTGCCACCAGGTAGGCCCCCTCGGTAACATTTCAATTGCCACCAGTGAACAAACCAAAATTGAAATTAAAAAAAAAATATTTACAATAGCATCACAAAGGATCAGATATTTAGGAATAAACATAACCAAGGAGGTGAAAGATTTGCATCCCAAGACTGCAAAACACTGCTAACATAATTAAAGAAGACAATGGAAAGACATTCTAAGTTCATGAATTGCAAGATTTAATATTGTTAAAATGTCATGTTTAATGGGCAAAGAGTTTCAGCTGAGGAAGACCCAAAAAGTCCTGGAGATGAATGGTAGCACAATGTACATGTGCTTCACGACGCTGGCTTGTACACTGAAAAATGGTGAATTTCATATTGTGTATATTATACCACAATAAAAAATGTCTCTCACATTAAATTTCACCACATGTTGGACTCGTAGTCCAGAAGCCACCTTTCCGATTATGCGGTGCTATTCGTCCATGTTATGGTTGGAGACACCGAGCCCTAGTTGGTGTGACTTGATGGAGGCTGTGTAGCTACTAGTGCCAGAGTCAAGTCAGGATGATTATCTATTACACTGCACTAAGCTCCATGTGGCTCTCCGACTGGCTTTGAACTTGACTGCCCTGCTCCCAGCCCCTCCTGCATCTTATCACACAATCTCTGCAGAACACCCAGACTGCTCATTTGAGGCTAAAGTTCAGGTCTGTATTCCTCTGATTAAAATCTTTCAGGCCACCTCCCCAGGTAACCCAATGTGGAGTAAGATCAAACCCTCCGGTGTCTGAGGTCTGCCCCCGGGGCCTCTCCACTCTCTCCCTGTGGCTGCCCCACATGAGATCCCACCACATCAGCTTCATTCCACCGATTCATTCTATTTCCCTAAAGTTATCACTCAGCTTCACATGGGTTCTCCAGCCTGAGAAACTTTCCTCCTCTCATCTACCTACAAACACCATTCCAGGGTCCTCCACACAGTTTCCTGGATGCCCTGTTCAGCCCCATCCAGGCTGATGCCAACACACCTTCCACCTGTCACTGTCCTTGTCTTACATCCTGTGTTGCTGAGTTGCTGAGCTGCAAGTATCCAGTGGGCAGAGGTCAAGTCTCTGATCTTATTAGCAAGCGGTTCTCAGTGCATCAGACCCAGACAAGGAATTTTACAAAAATGCAAAAGTACAGGTGGTCAGCCATCTCCCTAGCCCTGATGAATTAGATTCTAGTAGAAAGTGCTAGCACATTTGGGGAACAATGAATGACCTACTCAGTGGTTGGTGGGTTTACACAGGAAAATGTTGGGAAATAGGTCAGCAAATGAAGAAGGTTGGCACCGTGAGAGGAACTAGCCCAGGGAAATGACACAACGAAATATGCATTTTTAGATATTTAATCTGGTGTGGTATGCAGTATAAATCGGTAGCATGAGAGGCTTTTGGCAGAGGGTGGAGTGAGGATCAAAGTGTCTTTCCTATTTGCATTTCTGATGCCTAATGCAGTGTGTGGTACGGGATAGATGCTCACTGAATGAATATGTGAATGAATAAACTAGAGTTGTGGTAGCAGGAACAGAACAGAAAGCCTTGCCCTGGATATAATGACAACTGCAGACAGTGAGCTCAAGGGTCAGTGCAGGAATCTCTCGACCTCTCTTAGAACTTTGACTTTAAAATGCAAGACCTGGCTTCTTACTCTCTGGCTCAACAATGCTCTGACAGGAACAGAACATGAGTGTGCACTCACACACATACAACCTCAAGTGTAAACAACATTTGTAGCTGAGCTCAGCAGGTTTCTGCCCCACTTCCCCTGTTTCTCTGAGTCAACTCCAGGGAGGGAAGAGCTGTGCCTTTTCCTGGACACCCATAAATTTTGTGTTGATGAGCAAGGTCTTGGAGTTTTAAGGCTAGGGATATTTAAACCAATACTTTACAGGCTTTAATGTGCGTCCAATCCCTCTTGAGAACTTGACTGAAATACATTGACTGAAATACACCGCTGAGGGGAGCAGTAGGCAAGTCAGAAGTCTGCTGTGCCATGTGGGTCAGCTCCCTGGCTGGGGATCGAACTCATGCTGCAGTGGCTGTGTCTAGCTTCATAGTGCTGCGTCATTTTAAACAAACTCTTAGTTGATGCTGAGGCTTCTGGTCCTCAGACCACTGTTTGAGTATCAGTTCTTTAGAACCTTCCAACTGGTGCTCCCAGGGAATGAAAGGATCCTGGGTATGTCATGAGATCATGTCCCCTGATGGCAAGTAGCTGTTTATGCTAATATGCAGAGTAACGTCACTTTCTATGATGGCACCGCATGACGTCACTTTCTATGATGGCACCGCATGACAAATGTCGGAGAGCACAAAAGCATTGTTTCACCAATTTTGGTAGATAATTGAATCACATGGGGGAACTAAGAACCTGGGCCTCTCAGTGAATCTACACATCAAAGTTTGAGAAGCACTGCACTAGCAGATAACTTTAGATACCCTAGGTGATTAGCACTTGGCTGCAGGAAAACAGCTGAGCAAATGACCAACCGGTTAGAAACAAGGAGGCTCAATTTTGTTGTCATTCAAAAATACTAATTGAGAGCTCACAATAGGTTAGGCATGGTTTTGAAAATGGGGAGTACTGTTCATAGTTTAGTAGGGGAGACAGATACTAAACAGATCATTGGAATCAGTACCTGGAGCTCGTAGTCTGGAAGAAGTAAGATAAGACATACATGATTATAATTCATCAAACCTTCACAGAACCGCCATTCTGGGCCAGGTGCTAAGGTTAAAAAGATGCATAGACTGCAGTCCCTGTCCCTTAGCAACTCCTAGGCTAGTGGCAGAAAGGGGAACCTGAACAAGTTAGCACTTTGGGGTTACTTGGAATCCTGGGTGATAACTGCCAGTTACTAACTGGGTGGTAACTGTCAGTTACCTGGGTGATAACTGTCAGTTACCTGGGTGATAACTGTCAGTTACCTGGGTGATAACTGTCAGCGAGGGTGTGGAGCAAAAGGAATCCTCCTACACTGTTGATGGGAATGTGGACTGGCCCAGGCCCTCTGGAAACAGTATGGAGTTTCCTCAAAGTATTTAAAAAAGATCTATAACATATCCCAGAAATTCCATTCTGGGGTAGAAATTCCATTCTACCCAAAGAATACAAAAAAAGCTAGTTCAAAGGGATAAATGCACTCTTCTGTTCAATGCAGCACTGTTTACCATATGTCAAGTTATGAAAACAAGCCGAGTGTCCAATTACAGAGGTGCAGGTAAGGACATATATATATACATGATAGAATACTACTAAACTGTTAAAAAAGATGAACTGTTGCCATTTGTCCACTGGAAATGGAGGGCATGAGGCTAAGTGAAATAAGTCAGAAGGAGAAAGGCAAATACAGGATGATTTCACTCATATGCGGAATACGGAGGACGAAAACAAAGACATGAAGAAAACTAAACCAAAACAAAGCCTAGAAACATGACTGCAGAATTGAGGTTATTAGAGAGGAGGGGAGCTGGGGGAGGGAACAAAGTGGGGAGGGGGTCCAATGGTCTACGGTAAAGGCCTATGGGTGCTTTTATGTAGTGATGTATATGAGCAGGTGTGAACTACACCCTTAAATCATATACAGCATTGGTTGTAAACCAATGTTACCTCAAAAAAAAAAATCTTAACAGGGTTTCACCTTTTTTTTTTTTGTCTTCTGTGGCCTTTAACACCACCAGAGCTGCAATAACTATTCTAGTTCCAATGTGTGATATTTCAAATCTGTATGAGTTTTAAATTTTCTGTTATTTAGCACCAAAGAAGGGAGATGTGCATCCGGCTTTTCTCACTGATACCTGCAACTCACTTCAAGCACAGATGAGTCAACTCCTCTTGCCTTCCTCTGCTTTGATGTTAAGGCCCAGGCTATATGACCAAAGTCAGAATTGTGAGCAAAATTCTCTGGTAGACTTGGTGTCTTCAGCGGCGCTCACTGGGGAGAGGAGCCCAGAATAAAGCAATGCATCCAAAAGAGAATGTGTTTAAATCTGAACTTTTGTCTTTTTTCAAATGAAAAGGGAACGTTATCTCCAACATGAGGAATGAGGAACAATTGTATATAAGCACATTCAAGAAAGAATTAACACCAAGCATTGGAATATTATCATTTTCAAAAAAAAAAGAATGAAATCACTGTATTTGTGAGTATGGTGGACGCTCTCCCACAGGTCCTTTCCATTCACAGCCGTGGTTTCCCCTTGGCCTGTCTGCACACAGCCCCTCTTCTCCCATACACAGATCCTTTCTCCTCTTGCTTTTTTCTCCCAAACAATTCATGAAATCACTTGATATTTTATCTAGGTAGAGAAAAGTCAACAAGTGCCAAGGGCTGAAGAAAATTCTGTGAGAAAAGAAATACCGAGGCTGGGCCTCCCCGGTGGTGCAGCGGTTGAGCGCTGGGCTGCGAAGCTGCCTGCAGTCTTTGCAGCGCTGGTTCGATCCCTGGACGCCAGTGAGGGTCCCACATGGTGCACAGACCTCTCCTGCCGCCCGCTGCTCCCCTCAGCAGTGTACTTTGTCAGTCTGCCTGCTCTGTTCCCCGCTCTGGCTCTGGTGAATTCTCTCACCCTCCTGCGCTTCTGACTGTACCTAGTGCTTGTATAAATAAATAAATAAATATTGAAAAAAAAAAAAAAAACCTTAAAAAAACATACTGAGGCTGCCTGTCTTCAGGCAGATTGACTTCTGATAGAGGCAGGATGTAAAAGACATGGAATGACAGTGGGCGATACCGGAAGAACAGATAGGGCTCCTCTCTGTAGAATAGTGAAATCTGATTTCTGCATGGGGTTAGATTGTACTTCATTTATGTCCATGAACAGGTATTATGGTAATGTAAATCTCGTAAGTTGTGAAGTAGCCCCTCAATTTTATTGAAGAGTTGGGAGAATTGGTATTATTTCTTTAAATGTGTAGTAGAATTGAAACCATTTAGGTCTAGCGTTTTCTTTCTATAAAACTCTTAGTTCTTTTAATAGCTGTGGGATTATTTACGTATTTCCTTTTGGGTAAGCTTTGGTTGCATGCTTTTCTGTTATATAATTTGTTGGTAAAAAATTACTCACGCTTAGTAGTTTAAGTGTTACATTATTAACCCTATACTTTATATGTATAGGATCTATAGTGACACTACTTCTTTCATTCTTGACACTGGCAATTTGTATCTTCTTTATTTTTTTCTTGATTAACCCAGCTACAGCTCCATTAGATTTATTGATCTTAAAGAACTTGTTTTTGGTTTCATTGATTTTTCCCTCTATTTTCATTTGTTTTCTATTGATTGATTTATACTCTAAGCTTTATTGTATTCTTTCTTCCATTTACTTTGGATTTAGTTTGTCCTTTTTTCTGGTTTCCTCAGTTGTAGGTTGAGGTCACTTACTTGAGACATTTTCCCTAAGATTTTGGTGTTCTCAATGTCTCTCTGAATACTACTTTAGCTGTATTCCACAAATGGATTGCAATTTAGAGTGAAATGTAAACTAACAAAAATATATTATCCTAACAAATCCTTAGGAAGACTAGAAAGAAAATTCCTGTTTTTCCTATGCTCTTACTCATAATTCAACTACAGCAGACACATATTTCCACTATGCACAGGACACAGCATTTCCCTATGCTGCGGTGCTCTCTGCAAACCACCTGGGTGTTCTACAGTTTGCTATTAATGCTAACTGCCTGGAGTTAACACAAATCCCACAGGTTAAGGGCTCGGTCCCACGAGACTGTTATACTCCAGACGCCAACTGCAAGTCCGTACTTCTCATACTTCTGAACAACCAGCTACAAGTTGGGGGTTATCACGAACCCTTCCTTGGGTTTGATAATTTGTTAGAACAGCTAACAGTAATCTTTGGAAAACAGCTTACTATTTGATTAACAGTTAATTATAAAAGAATACAAATCAGGAACAGCCAGACAGAAGAAATGCATATGGCAAGGTGTGGCGGGAGGGATGTGATGATTCCTGTCCTCTCTGGCACACCATCCTCCCAGCACCTCACCAATCTGGAAGCTCTTGGAACCCTTTCATTATATAAGTGCAATGGATGAAATCTTTACCTGGTGGTAAAGACCACATTGCCTCTTCCTAGAGGTGGTCTGGGGATGGATAAGAAGGGCAGAGGGTCTGTGGGATGATAAGACAGAGAGTTCCAAGCTTCTAACCACAGAGATTAATAGCAATAATGAATAAGAGGATAGATGAGCTATACTAATATACCGTAATATACTATATACACTGTATAGTATATTGTAATATATACCGTAACAAAAGTTATGTGATTGTCCTTTCTCTCCCTCAAAATATGTGATGGTATGTGAGTTTTGGATCATGATTGTCCATGGGTAACTGAAACCATAGAAAGTAAAGCCACTGATAAGGGCTGGCATCAGGGAAGGACCGCTGTAGCTGGCGTGCTCTCAGGAGCTCTGTGGAACAAAGAAGAGAGGTGTCTTTACGATGTTAGCTCTGCTCATATGAGGCTGGATATTTGGGCTGTTAAATGTGGTGGATATTTTCTTTTTTTTCTGTGTCCTGTCTTCTAATTTGGTTTATTGAGTCTATTTTACTGCTCAAATTTTGTGTGCAGTTAGTAAGACCCTCCCTATCCCAAAGGAATAAAATTTTTTTTAGTATTTTCTTCTACACCTACAGGAGACTTTTTCCCCTTTTCATTCTTACATTACAATTAATTCATCTGGAACTTATATTTTATATATGGTATAAAGAGTTTAACTTTATTTCTTTCCCATGTATAACCAATTTTCCCAGCACTATTTATCAAATAACATATCTTTTCCCAACTGACTTCAAGTGCCACCTTTAATATATACTAAATCCCTAAATACACGCGAGTTTCCTGTCATTATTTCATTTCATTTTCCTACTTATACACCACCATTAACCCCCATTTTTTATTTTTTCAAAAAAAATTTTTTTTAATTTATGCCTACAAGAACTGGGGTGTAGGCCAGAGGTGGGTGGGGGAGGGTGTGAGGGGATTCACCAGAGACAGAGTGGGGAACAGAACAGGTGGATCTACTGAAATACACTGCTGAGGGGAGCAGCAGGCGAGGCAGGAGTGGTCTGCCGCGCCAGGTGGGTAGCTCCCCGACTGGGGATGGAACTCATGCTGCAGTGGCTGCGGATAGCTTCATAGGTTGCATCTTAACCCCTTGCCACCAGGGAGGCCCATTTCTTGCAGCTGTGGACACCTTTAAGCACCACTTCTTGGCTGCAAACCTTCTGCATTTGCTTCAGCTTTGTGAGGGGCGGGGGCTTCCCTCTTTCCTTTCAGCCCCATCTTCGTGAAAAGGTTCTTCTCTGTTTTTTCCCTCATATTTTAATTTTCAGTTGTTTCCATAGCTATATGACAATGGGAGTGCGACTTCAGCCTCCATACGTGCACACCTGCCCTCACCCTCCACGAAGCTCCAGAGAAATTGTTCACCCCATTTCCTCCCTCACTTTCCCTCCCCTCATTTCCTCTGGTAACCAGTATATTTTTCAGAGTCTAAGAATTACTTCTCCTGTGCTTTACCAGTTTGTTTTTTTCATTCTGCAAATGAGTGAAATCATCCATTTGTTTCACCTTCTGACTAATTTCACTTAGCAAAAATCATCTGAAGATTCATTCACTTTGTCTCCAGAGGCACTGTTACAGCCGTTTAAGAGCCGAGTGGTATTCCCCCCGAGTGTATATACTCCACAATTCCGCTACCCAAACATGTGCTGTTGAGCGTTTAGGTTGATTCTGTGACTTGGTTTTTGTGGATTATGCTGCTGTGAACACTGGAGTGCATAAATCTCTTGTAATAGTGCTTTCATGCTCTTTGGGTAAATACTTAGCAGTGGTATTGCCGGATCACATGGTATTCCCAATTATTTATTTTTCAAGGACTCTCCATACTGTTTTGCAATGAGGCTGCAAATTATATTCTCTGCAACTCTGGATGAGGGCTCCTTTTTCTCCACATCCTCAGCAGCATTTGTTGAACCATTTTTCATTTCTCCTTTGACTTAGTTTTCTATTCAATCCAATCCAATCCAAATAAATTTATTTCTCATCATTTAAGTTCCAAATGCTATATATACTAGGCAGCAGAGAGTCTGCCAAATATCATGTTGCCAATGAGCTTTATTAGGCAATTCTGGAGTTACTAATTGAGTAACTGTTTAAAAAGGGAAATTTGGTTGATATGGCAAGAATTTTTATTAGACTTGCGTTGTGGTATAATATAACTGACGGTTGCTCTGCCAGGGAGCAGATGGCACTAGGGAAAGAGATTGAGCAATGAGAAACTGGGGGGTGGATGAGTGAGGTGAAACTGAGAAGTTATTGCTTAAGAATGCACAAAAGGGGCCAAACCAGAAGTTCGTGAGCACCGTGGATGAAGTACAGGGAAATTTAGGCCAGAAGTTGGGGGTGGAAATGCAAGATTGATATTCAAGCTCGTGGACTTTGGATATTGAATTTAGCAGAGTGAATGACTTGTAAATCCTTTCCAACTTCTTCCTCTACCTCCTCTTCCTATCATGTCTGGGGTTCACCTTACCATCTGCCCCTTTGACAGGGCTGCCCTTCATAATTAGTGTCTTTTGATATTTATAAGCTAGCATTTATAAATTATGCATTATTCTGCTTAACTTTTGTGAAGGTTCGGTACCAATCTTAAGTTAATACTCCAGGCAGTCTCCTTTTATATAACTGAAGCCAGGATATTTAAGCAATTCTAGTCTTTTGCTTCCTTTCTTACACTCCAAATATTGACAATGATTTTCTAGTTATACTCACAAAATTCTTCCCAGAACTCTAATGTAATTAATCTGAGTCTGGAGAATAAAATTCTCTTAGAAAAAAGGGAATAAAGCAGGGGAGCTCTTAACATATGCTCACCTGTCTTGGATTCCATGATTTTTTTGTTGAAAAGCTTATTTCTTCCATGATAAAGGTGAAGCATATGCATTTAAAAAATCAGTTAATATATACAGAGAAAAAGCAACTATAGTTTGACCATTACAAGTCTACACTATAAATATTTAGTTGTATTTCCTTTTAGTATTTTTTTCTCCATGTACCCATGACTGAATGCCCACAAACACTTGGACATCTAGCCGCTCCTGGAATTGCTGTGGCAAACAGGCCAGACCTGCCTCTCACAGTCGAGTTGTGGGGAAAGGACATGAAAAATAACCAGGGGCTTCTAGAATAAAAGCACTATTTCTTATTCCTGCCATTGAACGTGATGAATACCCTTCGTTACCACATGTTAGACAAACAAACACCTCTGAAAGGTGAAGAGCAGAGGTAGCTAGGGAGAGACTTTAGGCCAGGATCAACATGATGGAGAATCCACTGGACTACTTCTGTATCTCATTAAATCCCAAACTAAATGCAAGAGAAACTAGAAACTGGGAAATAAATATCAGTACAGACAAAACCCAGTCCCAGCCAAAGCCCACTGTCCCCTAGACAAAGGACTAGAGAGAGAGGAAACTTTAAACACTAAATGCTCTACTCCAGACAAACCCTATAGAAAAGTGTGGCCTCCACACCACTCATGCTATCAAAGACCCATGGAGTGGGT